TCTCAATAAAATTAATAAAAAATAAATGAACAAATAAAAAATAAATAAATAAATAAATAAATAAATAAATAAATAAAAGAGGCTTAAAAACTGTAAGGCTAAAATTAAGGAAAGGATTTGGAAGTCCACCACTTTGACTGTGACTGTGGACAGAATACCTATACACATTACCCTCAGAATGAAAACAGGAAAATGTTATCAAATGCCACTGAACTGTTGTCAAGAAAAAGCAATAAAGGACCAGAGAGATAGCTCAGAGGACTAAGCACTTGCTTAAGCAAGTGCAGGGACTGGGATTCAGTCCCCAGCACAGCATGCCACACTGGCCCCGCCCTCAGGAGCACTGAGCCAGGCAAGACCAGCAGTGGAGAAGCTGAAAACAGGAGGATCACTATGAGTTTGTGCTGCAGAGTGAGACCCAGTACCAAATACATAAAAAAGAAAACCAATAAAAATGATTACTTTAGTAATATAAAAGTGCTCCACAAAAGCATAATAATCACCAATGTTTAAGTAACATACCACTGAGTACCTAACAAGGTGCCCATGTTTTACAAACAGCATTTATGGACTTCCATAACTCAGATTTTCACTATTTATGAGCCGTGTATAAATTTGGGAAGTGGTTGAAACCACATTTCACATCAAAACCACTTATGGGGCACCCTGCCAAGTAAGCGTAACTATCCTTGGGAAATCTCAGAGCTCTGTGGAAATGGGTCTCTTTTTTTGGACAGCTGAAAAGTGGGTGGTTTCCTTTGGATTAAGGTAAACATTGTTCTAGGGCACATATAGAATTTCCAAAAATCCAGAAATTTGGGCTGAGTATTTCATTTTCTTATACATAATTATCATCCTGGAAATTGTAAGGGCTATATCTTTTCTCTTTTTTGCTAATAATTTGGTTCCTGGATACATATTATAGAAAACTTATATTCTAGCATGTATCAAACTGCATCTTGGTGACTAAAGGACTGCCTCATTCATATTCTGTCCCAAAGCATATAAATGTATTGCATACTCACTTGCAGAATCTCATTGGGATTATTAATGTAATTTTAAATATTACTACCTGAATTCCATTGTATCCCCACTTCCAAGTGAAAACTTCCTAAGATCAAAGGACTGAATCTTTTTCATCTTTTTGATCCCAGTACCTAGCATAGCACAGTTACTATCAATGGGAGGGAAAAGGAAAGCAGAATGGAGGAAGCAATGAAGGGAAAAGAGGGAGAAGGAGGAAGGGAAGTGAAAAAGGAACGGGGAAGAGATGGGAAGATGCAGTTAGTTTTTCTATTCAGAGAATGACAAATTGAAACAGCTAGTCTCTAGATCATTGTTAATGAACCCAATGTGAAAATCCTAATGAGACCATGAAAATAAAATCCAGCCCTGGTCAGTGCACAGAAGATCTAGGGTGATTCAGAATTCCATTTCTCACTAGCACTGTTGAGCGCCCTATGACAGCCTCCCTATCAATGTTGCTGGTTCAAGCCCCCTGAATGGGTTGCTGTAGTTGTGCTACATCACTGAACATGGTCACAATAGAACTTCTGAGGCCCTGTATAAGGGAAAGTCAATAAGCTACCTTAGAGGGAAGGCATCAAAGCAGAGAATTCCTTCTCCGAGAGCAAATGAGCACACTGCTCAGCAAGAGACTCAAGGATATAATCAGAAAAGGGAACTTGGAAATTCTGTCCTAATGGATAAAGGTAGAAATGATCTACACAAGCTTTAAACACTCTTCTTCCTATTATATGATGAAATTTTTCAGTCATAGGCATATTGAGAGCTGGGCCAGCAGAGTGGTAAAACAGGAAAAAGAAAATAGAATCCGGGAATTTAAAGAAAGATTAATTAACTTCAAAGGTCCTAATTCAAGCAGTGTATATCAGCAATAATAGTAATAATAATAAAAATAATATTAAGAGAAAAAACATTTTAAATTATAAAGAATGTCCACAGGTATTAAATCAGTGATCATATTAGGTCCAAATTTTTGACCCTATTTACTCAAAGAAACTATTTTTCGAGGTTCTATCTTTTGACATATTTTATCTTCGCCCCAGCTTCAATCTCTTACTCATTTCCTATGGCCTCTAGGCAGCCATAGAATCCTAAATCAAGGCCACGCTAACCAAACACTTCCAAAGAGAACAGCACAATTGAAAATACTGCTATTTTAACCTGGCTTAGAATGAAACTCCATGGGAGATGGAGGAAATGTAATACAGAGCCACTGGGTATTTGGGACTGATGTGATATGATAGATCTTCTTGTCATCTTTGGTTTCTGTGATTCCATGAGATTCACCACAACTGGGTAATTTGTGCTTGTCACATACAGCAAGTGAGGCTAACAGATTACCAGGTTCAGAAACAAACTACAAACAGCATGTCAAAATTGAATCAAGAAGACAATACCTATCCAAAGCTGAGAAAATGTAGAAAATAAATTGTCCATGGTGATTAATTTCAAGTCAAAGTTCCTCTCCACTTCCAATCACCTTTCAATGCACATTGTACAATCCTTTTAACTGAGACATTTTTCAGATGCAATTTGTAAATTTAGGGCAGAGTATAATCTCTATTTGCTTTTAGCAACCAGACACATCTTTAAATCTAATAAATGGAGCTAAAAAAAACTTGCAGGAAAAAATACATGAAAATTATTTATCTGTAAATTAAGTCTAGCTAATTTTTGGTCATTCAACATTCGACATCGGTTGAGCACTTACCACATAAAATGTTTTTTTAAATGTTTTAATTATTTAGTGATCATACTTTGCAAAATAACAAAATGAGATTTTTTAAAAAATATATATTGTATATTAGACTTTTCATGAATTCAAGTCCTTTTTTCCTGTTAACCCAAATAATGAGTCTACACCTAAATGACATCCTATCTTTGTATTTATATTCAAAATATTAGAGATTCCAGTTAAAAATTATGAACACCAGTAATTATGTCTTGTATTTAAAGGCATTTTTTTGTTTGTTTGTTTTTATTGGCGGAACCAGGGTTTGAACTCAGGCCCTTGCACTTGTCATGGAAGCGCTTATTCTACTGAGCCATCTTCCTGGCCCCTTTAAAGGCATGTTTAATCCCCAAGATTTAGTGAATGATATGATAGTTTGTCCCCATCCAAAGTGATTTCCAAACCCAAAGAGGAGTTAGTATGTTTTGTTTTGCTAAGTAAATTAAAACCAACAACTCAGTCTTTATCACATACCTTACTTTTCCTGTGGAAAATTCTCATCTTCTTCACATCAAAGTCAGGCCCCTGGGGCAGATTTGTAGTTACAATAAATTCTTAAAATAAATCACTGGTAGAAAGAAACATGTGATTTGTGTGGAGCTGGAGGGTGATCATTTGCTGATAACAGTAGTATAATCTAAATACTTACTCAGAATTTTAGGAGTAGAATGAAAGAAGTATACCTGAAAATGTCTAGAATGATCATCTACTGTCCTGTAATATATCTAATTTGTAAAAATGTGTACTGAGGCAAATGATTAATGATTATCTTCTCAGTCGATGATAAGATGCTGAAATATACCCAGACTGCTCTCATGAGCTAGATCTTTTCTCAAGGTCATGGTGTAATCCCACCTATATTTGGACCTTTTCACATAGTGTGTGCTCAATCTATGGGGTTCAAAAGGTGTACGTAAACCCCAATCTTAAGTTGACATAGGGACAACTCTAAGGATCTTTGGAGTTGGATGATATCCGCGTGCCACACTAGATCAGAGAAAGTCCTTGGAGCTGTTAGCCTCCTGAACTGTTATGGCTGTACTAGGGTGAGAAACAAACCTAGTCTCCAGAGCTCAAGGTCTGCTAAATTGTTCTTGTTCCTTCAGACGTTCTATTCTAATTCTGCACAGGCATTTTGGTCAGTGACAGTGAAAATGCAGCAACTTGAGTTAAAGCTCCAAACCAAACAGAATCTAGAACTTTTATGCAACTATAGTCAATCCTTAGTTGGTTATGTATATGAAAGCCAACAGGATCTTTAATAATAAAATAATTTATCCTTGACTTCTATATGCATATTCAGAGTTTTTCTTTTATTTTTGGCAGTATCAACAGACTTACTTCCTTAATTATGATGGACCTTATTTAATGTCACAGTTAACGTTCTCCGCATATACATAAGAGCACACACTACTCACCAAAGGATGCTGGTGGAATGCCCAGGAACATACTGTGGCATAGGGGAAGGTGATCTGAGATTAGGTTTTGGCTGGCGGTAATGCACACTCTAGAGTATCGTAATCAGTAAAGAGCTCGCTGTATTTACATCAAGTTCTTCTTAGAGGCATATAATCGCTTTAGCCAGTTCTGACCCACAAAATAGATGTAGCTTAAGTGATTAATTATTAAAACCAAGTCAATCAACATCAGAGTACTTTCTTTTAACCTGGATTATCTACCTTGATTGTGGATAGCAATCCATGGAAGTTGACTGCCAGATCGCTAGTACTGGCTGGCACGCAGGTTTCTTAGGCTTGAGGATGCCTGGAGGACTCCGCACCAGCCCCCGTTTGCAGACCTCGCTGCCCAGGGCGCCCTCCCCCCTCCCTCCCCCTCCCCCGGCCCGCCTCGCCCCCTCCGCCCTCACCTGGCTTCTCCTCGGCTGGGCTGCTCTCCGCGGGCTCCGTGGGAGGCTGGGCGGTCGCCTTGGCGGCGGCGTCCTCGGCAGCAGGGGTGGTGGCAGCAGCAGCAGTGACAGCAGCAGGCACGTCGGCTTGTTTAGGCTCCTCCTTGGCGGGGCCGTCTTCGGCCTTGGAGGACGGCGAGTTGTCGGTGGACGCTTTCGTGGCACTTTCGGGCTCGGCGGCGCCGGCCTTCTCGTCGACCGCCGGCTCCGGGGCCGCGGCGGGGGCGCCCTCGCCCGGTTTCTCCTCGGCCTGGCCGGGCTCCTCGGCCTTGGGCCCGGCGCCGGGGGCGGCCTCGGCGGCCTCGCCCTCCTTCTTGGCCGCGCCGTCGGCGCCCGCGGCGTCCTCCTTCTTCTCGGCGGCCTCGGCCTCGGCGGCCTGGGCTTCGCCCTTCTTCTCCCCTTTGAGCTTTTTCCTCGTTATGTGTCCACGGAAGCTCGCCTGGATTTTGGTCGCGGCTTTATGAGCTTTATCTTCGGGTTTGATGCCATCTTGTTCGATCTTTTGGTCCTCATCATTTTTTTCAACCTTTGTGGAGAAAAGAGCGACAAAAAGGAGAGCTCGCTTGGTGTCTTGGCCTTCCCGTCCCAGCCATCAGCAACGCGCCTTGAGCGCCCTCCGAGCAGTGATGTCGCCTCAAGGCAGCTCTCTGCGAGACAGGACTCAGCACCCTGGAAGCGCCCATCAAGCCTGCTTCCTCTCCCTTGGTATTTCATAGGGAAAACCATGGTCTTTGGGACCTTACGAAGTCACCTGTACTATTTCATGTGTCTTTTCTCTAGTTCAGGTCCTCTACTCTCCTATATAAGCCAGCCTTGTCCATGAAGGGACAAGGAAAACACACACACACGCACACACACACACACACACACACACACACACGAAGGGAAAAAAATGGAAACAAAACTTTTACAAATAAGGAGGGGGAAGAGAGTTTGAAAGGAGAGGAGGGCAATGGGAAAAAGGGGAGAAGAAAAATATATCATGTTCAGGTACAAATTTTGGATGAGTGTGATCATTATGTTGATTTAAAATGTGCTAATTTAAAAAATAAATGAAATGTATCATGACAATTCAGTTTGTCCTAGTTTCCAAAGTATTCTGAAAGCTACTGTTTTTAGGATTTTTGGGGAGAGTCTGTAATACTTTATAATTTAAAAAATATGCAGAAGTCCATATTCTCCCCTAATACTTCAAAATTCGTGAAGAAATCAGTACATTCAAGGAAAAGAACCTGGTAAGTATACAAACAATTAATCCCATCAGGACTCAAGCAAAAATCTAAATGAATTCTACTGTCCTGAGGAAATTTGAACAGAACTTAATAACTAGGAAGGCTGGTCACAAAGTGGTGTCTAACTTCGACTTCAGTATAGGTCAGTATCAGTTAGAACCACACTGAATTTTACATTTGGAACCTAAAAAAA